TCCTTCTGCTTCCCTGATAAAGTGATATTTAATTGCTATGTGTTTTGTTCTACTATGATGTACTGGATTCTTTATCATTGCTATAGCTGATTTGTTGTCGCAGTAGATTGTAGTTGGCTCATTTTGTTTTTCTCCCATTTCTTCAAGTATTCTTCGTAACCATATTGCTTGACTTGTAGTCTCAGCAGCTGCTACATATTCTGCTTCTGCTGTTGATTGTGCAACTGTTGCTTGCTTCTTTGAAGCCCATGAGATTGTTCCTGATCCTAGTGAAAAGGCATAACCATATTGCTTGACTTGTAGTCTCAGCAGCTGCTACATATTCTGCTTCTGCTGTTGATTGTGCAACTGTTGCTTGCTTCTTTGAAGCCCATGAGATTGTTCCTGATCCTAGTGAAAAGGCATAACCAGATGTGCTTTTCATATCATCGATCGATCCTGCCCAGTCACTGTCGGTGTAGCCAAGTAGCTTTGAGTTGCTCATAGTTTGGTACCATATACCATACTCTTTTGTGCCTTGTAGATATCTTAGGATTCTTTTTACTATTCCAAAATGAATTTGGCTTGGACTTTGCATGAATCTTGAAAGAAGACTTACAACATACATTATGTCTGGTCGTGTGGCTGTGAGATATAGTAAGCTTCCAATCAAACTTCTGTAACGTGATGCATCAGCTTCTGGTGCTCCATCATTTTTCTTCAATTTCTCATTTGTTACCAATGGAGTGCTAACCGTCTTACATCCATTCATCTTAAATTTCTTGAGTAATGCTTCAACATATTTCTTTTGTGAGATAAATATTCCTTCTTTCTTTTGTTTTACCTCTATTCCGAGAAAGTAGTTCATCAAGCCAAGGTCGGTCATTTCGAAGGTCTTCATCATATCTTTTTTGAACTTAGCTATCATCTCCACATTGTTTCCTGTGCAGATAAGATCATCTACATACAAGGAGACAATGAGTATATCATACTGACCTTGGATCTTGGTGTATAAAGTTGCTTCACTTTTGCTCCTCCTGAATCCTTGGTCTGCAAAGTATTGATCAATTTTGCTGTACCATGCTCGTGGAGCTTACTTCAATCCATATAGAGCTTTTTTCAGTCTTAGTACTTTGCCTTCATTACCTTTGCTGACAAAGACTTGCGGTTGCTCCACATAAATCTCTTCTTGAAGAATGCCATTGAGAAAGGCAGATTTTACATCGAGTTGATAAATGTTCCATCCTTTTTGTGCAGCAAGAGCAATCAGAGTTCTTATAGTATCCAGGCGAGCAACTGGAGCAAATGTCTCGTTGTAATCAACTCCAAGTTGTTGTGAGTATCCTTTAGCTACCAGCCTTGCCTTGTACTTTTGTATGGTGCCATCGGGATTAAGCTTGGTCTTATAGACCCATTTTACCCCAATGATATCTTTATTTGTGGGGCAATCTACTAGCTCCCATGTGTTATTTTTCTCAATCATTTTTATCTCTTCTTCCATTGCCTTGACCCATACTTCTTGTTTTGATGTTGCGTCAAAGTTCTCAGGTTCAGTTATGGCCAGGTTACAGGTCTCGTATATATCTACCAAAGATCTAACTCGTCTTGGAGTAGACTCTGGTGAGGAATGTTGTTGTTGTTGAGGTGAAAAATTCTCACCTGAGACTTCTTCAATTTCTTGAGGTTGCTGCATTGGTATGGAAACATTTTTCTCAACCTTTTCATCTTTCCAATTCCAAGCAGCATTTTCATCAACTTCAACATCTCGACTAATGATGAGCTTCTTGGTTTGCAAGTTGTAGACTCGATATCCTTTTGACTGTGTGCTATATCCTAAGAAGATACCTCGTATGGTTTTGTCTTCTAGTTTGTGTCTCTTCTCTTTTGGAATGTGTATGTAGCAAATTGATCCGAAAACCCTTAGATGTTTTGCTGATGGTTTTTGCCCACTCCAAGCTTCAATTGGAGTTTTATCTTGGACAGCCTTAGTTGGGCATCTATTAAGTATGTAGACAGCAGTATAAACTGCTTCAGCCCAGAAAGTATTTGGCAATCCTTTCTCCTTCAGCATGGATCTAGCCATCTCCATTACCGTGCGGTTTTTTCTCTCAGTTACTCCATTTTGTTGTGGAGTATATGCGATTGTAAGTTGTCGTTGAATGCCTTCATCCTCACAGAATTTATCAAACTCTTGAGATGTATACTCTTTGCCACGATCACTTCTTAATACTTTTATCTGTTTACCACTTTGCTTCTCGACAAGGGCCTTAAACTTCTTGAAAATTATAAAGACTTCTGACTTTGCTTTGATGAAGTAGACCCAAGTCATTCTAGAAAAATCATCGATGAAAAGGATAAAATACCTGTTATCATGTAGTGATGGTGTCCGCATTGGTCCGCAAATATCTGTATGAATAAGCTCCAATAAGTCTTTTGCTCTCCAAGCTTTTCCAGTAGAAAATGGCAATCGAAGTTGCTTGCCAAGGAGACATCCTTCACAAGCTTCATTATTTTCTTCAAGATATGGAAGATCCTTCATCATATTCTTTTGATGTAGTAGTTTTAAGGCATGAGTATTGAAGTGGCCAAATCTTCAATGCCAAAGTCGTGAAGTATCAACTTCTGCTTTCATGGCAATATTAGCGCCTTGTTGAAAGCTTATTGGAAAACTTCGATTTCTTTTCTCCATCTTTACTTGGCCAATCTCTTGCTTTTTGTTGTCATATATCTTACATGTGTCCCCTTTGAAGTGAAGAGAATAACCTTTCTCCATCATTTGGCCAATACTCAAGAGATTTTCCTTGAGGTTGGGGACTAGTAAGACATCAGTAATAAGTTTCATACCTTTCTTTGTCTCCACCATAACAGTGCCTTTGCCTTTTGACTCAGCGATAGTACCGTTCCCCATTCGAACTTTCACTTTGATAGATTCGTCAATATCCTTGAAGATGTTTATATCTTTGGCCATGTGATTGCTGCAACCGCTATCCAAGTACCAATTTCCACTCGTTTCAGTACTGGGATCTTGGGTAGCATAGAAAAGATGTGGTTCTCGATCATCCTCTTCAGCGAAATTTGCTTGATACTTGTTTTTGTTGCGACAATACTTTTCCACATGTCCAAATTTCTTGCAGTGTCGACATTGTGGTTTTCCACGATACCGACATTCTTCTTCAGCATGATTTGTCCTTTTATAAATACCACATGGAGGGTATTTATCTTGATTGTTTCTAGAGAAATTTCTAGAATTCTCTTTGTTTCTAAAAGTTTCTCCATTATTCTTTCTTACTTCATTCCCTTTATTCTGAGACCGTAATTTGAGCTTTGATTGAAAGACATTTTCTATTGAGTCCTCATCATGCCTTTTCAACCTTTGCTCATAAGCTTCAAGGGACCCTACCAACTCTGTCACTGATAGAGTAGATAGGTCCTTTGTTTGCTCAATAGTGGTGACAATTGGATCACACTTACGGGGAACTGTGATCAGTAATTTCTCAACAACCTTTTTGTCAAGAATATTTTCCCCATAAGCTCTCATTTGGTTAACCATTTCTTTTATTTTAGAATAGTAATCCTTGACGGTCTCAGACTCTTTCATTTTTAATAATTCAAACTCTCGCCGTAGAGTTTGGAGTTTTATAGCGTGTACATTTTCGCTTCCTTCAAACTCCTCCTGCAGCGTACTCCATGCTTCTTTGGCTGTTGTAGCACCCATTATTCTTGGAAAAATTGCATCAGTCACAGCTTGTTGTAGAGTAAACAAGGCCTTTGAATCCTTTTGTTTATTCTCTTTCAATTCTTTTCTTTGAGCTGCAGTAAGGGATGATATGTCTGAGGGAGTAGTGAATCCTTCTTCCACAATATCCCACAAATCTTGGAACGTGAAATATGTTTTCATTTTTGTGCTCCAAAAATCATAATTTTCACCATTGAAAATAGGGACGAGAAGAGATGATGGTTGAGTAGTGCTAGCCATGGGTTAGGAAATTTTTGGAAGTAGTTTATTTTAATTTTGAAATAGTATGGTAATATTTCTACGCCCAGTAGATGACCGAACGTAGTTCTGATGCCACTGATAGTTTTTAGTGTAGGTGAGATGAGTAAGATAGTTGAAATGTTAGTAGGAATAGTTGAAAATGGTAGTTGAAGAAGTTTTAGTAAGAGACTCAAGAGATGGAGGATTGATGTCTTGATTACTTCTTCTTCATTGCATTTACAATGAGGTAGCATACCTATTTATAGGCATCATCCACCATTTGGTTCAATATACTAGAGCTATCTAGAAAATTGAAGATTTACAATATTCTAGAACTTTCTCTAGAAGCATCTACATACTAGAAGATACAATTAGTTTTTCCTAGATTGTTCTTAGTATTTTTTCTAGACTATTCTAAAAATTTGTATCAATTTCTAATAGAAACAAACAGCCCCTTAATATTCAAATTACCGTTTTCTATTTTGCCTTACAAAATCCATTTCCCATGGCGTAAGAAAACAAGTCCAGCGAATTGCAACCGGAGTCTTAAATGCGACCGTGTGAAAAATAATTCATTGATGGTCCGATTGTAACCCAAACTCTTACAAAATTTCCATATTCCACCAACTACTTTGACGAAGATGTTTAAACTTGAAATAGTAACAGAAAGCCAAAAACAGATGGTTCGGAAAATAAGTTTAAATACTGTAAACTGTTACCGTCAGGTCTGAAAATTTGAGACAAAGTCTAAACTGCATTTTTGAATTAGTTTACGAGCTTTTCGTAATAAAATAATATTACAGTCACGACTACTCTTTGATTAAGTGGACGAGGTATTACTGAAACGTTTGCTTTTTCTTGTGAAGCATCTCCTTAGTCTACTCTTTGATCAAGCACGCATGTAGTTGTTAAGGACTCGTTCATCATCAAATGGAGTGTTAATTATGCTTAGGAGATAAACAGAAAACAAATTCAACTTTCATCCTTATAAATAGCAAGTTTTACCTGAGTTAAATTTATCAATTCTTACTCGCAATTGCATGCACACGCAGAACCATTTACAATAGTTCTACGGAAAAAATGAAACAAGTCTACTTTCTTGTTGCTGTCTTGGCTTTGGCATCCTCCCTTGCCTCTGCTTATGACCCCAGTCCTCTGCAGGATTTTTGTGTGGCAATCAATGAAACTGATGGAGGTATGTGCAAGCATTCCTCAAAAGTCTACTTACACTCATTTTAAGTTTGTTTCTTTATAATATTAAAATCACGTCCAGAATTAGTGTAATTAAAAAGCTTTGCCTCGTTGATGATTTGCAGTATTTGTGAACGGAAAATTCTGCAAAGATCCCAAGCTTGTTAAAGCTGAAGATTTCTTCATACATGTGGAACCTGGGAACACTGCCAACCCATTGGGCTCACAAGTAACTCCGGTCTTTGTGGATCAACTACCAGGATTAAATACACTCGGCATATCTTTGGCTCGCATAGATTTTGCACCCAAGGGTTTGAACCCTCCCCACACACACCCTCGTGGCACAGAGATTCTTATAGTCCTTGAAGGTACTCTTTATGTTGGATTTGTCACATCAAATCAGGACAATAATCGTCTCTTTACCAAAGTGTTGAACAAGGGCGACGTCTTTGTGTTTCCAATTGGCCTCATCCATTTTCAACTGAATGTGGGATATGGCAATGCTGTTGCGATTTCTGGTCTTAGCAGTCAAAATCCAGGAACTATAATTATTGCAAATGCTTTGTTTAAAGCTAATCCACCTATTTCTCCTGAAGTTCTTTCCAAAGCTTTTCAAGTCGACAAGAAAGTAATTGATCAGCTTCAGAAGAATTCCTGGTACGACAACAACTAATTTCGGAACATGGACTGTTGACTCACATTTGTTATTGAAATTTGAGTTCAGTTAACCTTATGTATTTGACCTTCTTCAAATAATTACTATTATCATAAATAAAATGTACGTGGGTCATACTTATATAACGTAGTTGTTTACGTGGAGTGTGTTTTGATTCAATACACACTTTTTCTGAGCTTTAACAAAAGAACTACATTTCGCCCCTCTCTGTTTTTAAGAGATTTTTTTATAAATTTTAGGCTTATATTAATTTACAAGAAATGACACGTCAGTGTGTTAGATAAAAATTACAAAGGTTCTGTATCGTAACAAGTAATAAAGACGAGACTAGAGTATGTCTTCTTTAATGTATGTGTTGGAACTTTAAGACATTAAAAAGGCATTTTCTTTGGAATTAATAAGGGGTTCTTAATTAATTAAGCCCCTCAAGTTACGGGATACAATGATATTAGAACCTTTGTTCATTGATACGAAGATACTATTAAGATAAACAAAATAAATTCCGCTTTTATATAACTATGCAACAAAAAACAAAGTTAGAAAATTAGAGAATTGATATAACAATGAACAATAAAGATAGAAAATGGAGGAATTTTTTAATGGAGCTTCAAACTTTGTTTCCATCGAACCATAGACTTCAATTCGAAGAACCTTATAAGGAAAACACAGAAAACAAAATCTTGGATAGAGACAAATGAAAAAAAGAAATGATAAAAGACTCCAAATTCAACAAATTTGCATAACCTTCTACAGAGTTAAAGGTGGGAGACTCTTGGTAGTCGGTATCTATTTTGGTGTAGAATTTTAGCATGTAGAGAATTTTACGTGCAGTATATGGTGCAAAAAGTCTCTCATAATGTAAAGTTTCATGTTATTTATAGACAAATGAATATCAATTGCTTTCCTCCTTTTGCGAGCACTTCCTAGTAACTGCATTTTGTGTGTGCTTCTCTTCAACTGTTGTCGCCCATTATCCATGACCGCTCATGATCATGCCTTATCCATAACCATTATCGTCCATGATTATTTCCACTACAAGAAAAAATAAATTTAGCTACGAAAATTAGCTATGGAATTATTCCGTAGCAAATCTCTAGCTACTTAGCTACGGATTAGTTAGGGGTAAAAATTTCGTAGCTAAATTTACAAAAATAAGTGGCGCCTTATGGCGGAAAAAAAATTGCTTGGATTTAGCTACAGATTAGCTACAGGCTTTTGTGTAACTAAGAAATTTTTAATTTAGCTACGGATTAGCTAGAAAAATTTTTCGTAGCAAAATGAACTTCTGGTGGGAATAAGTGGCGCCTTATGGCGGAAAAAATTTGCTTGGGATTAGCTACGGATTAGCTAACTTTTGCGTAGCTAATTTAGCTACGTATTAGCTACAAAAAATTTTCATAACAAAATAAACTTATGGTGGCACCATCTGTGAGGAAAATTTTGCTTGGAATTAGCTACGGATTAGCTACAGACTTTTGTGTAGCTAAGAAATTTTTAATTTAGCTACGATTAGTTAGAAAAAATTTTCGTAGCAAAATTAACTTATGGTGGGAATAAGTGGCGCCTTATGGCGGGAAAAATTTGCTTGTGATTCGCTACGGATTAGCTACAGACTTTTGCGTAGCTAAATTTTTTTTAATTTAGCTACGAATTAGCTACAAAAATTTTCGTAGCAAAATAAACTTATAGTGGGAATAAGTAGTGCCATCTGGCAAGAAAAATTTGCTTGGAATTAGCTACGAATTAACTACAAATTTTTGCGTAGCTAAAAATTTCTTAATTTAGCTACTGATTAGCTACAAAGAAAAATTTCATAGCAAAAGTTAAGTACAAAATATTCTTAGTGTAGCTACGGAATAGCTATAAAATGATTTGGTAGCAAAATTTACACTTAAAAAATCTTAAGTTAGCTACAAATTAGTTTTAGAGCATGTTTGATTTATGGTTTTTAAAAATAATATCTTAAAACAGTTTTATAGAATTATTTAAAGAATAAAATAAAGTAAAATTTGTTTGGTATTTTAATTTTCAAAATTGATTTTAAGATGAGAAAATAAAAAAAAAATTTGATATATTTGTTTTAAAAAATAAGTTTTAAAAACTAAAAAAAATAAATTTTTTATTTAATATTTTAAATTAGATGAATATATATTTGATATTTAATTTTAGTATTTATTATTTAAATATATTTTTATATGAAAAATAAAATATTTGATTAAAAATTTTTAAACCATTAAAGTTTAATACAATATATGAAAATAATTAATATTAAATTAAACAATAATGATTAATTTTAATATTAGAATAATTTTTAATAAAAATATAAATGGTAAAAATTTAACGAATTATGAAATAATATGAATTATTAACCCATATAAAACACTCTAAAATCTATATAAATTAGATAACCTGGATTCATTATTAAAAAAAATCAAATAAATAAATAAAATTAAAATTCCTTATTTTTATTTTTATTGATATTATTTATTAATTTATTGATATTATTTATTTACCAAATCTGGAGTTTTATTTATGATAATTGTAAATACAATTTCTTATTAAAATAAATTATACTTTAATTTTAAACCATAAACAGGACTAATTAGAGTTAAATAACAATATAAAATTATTATAATAAGATAACCAATAGGGGTGCACAAAAAAACTAAATAGTTTTATTTAAATTTTAAAGTATTTGCAAAATATATAATATATTTTATGACAAATACATTATTTCATTAACTACAAGATGGGTGCACAAAAAAAAAACCAAATTATAAAAGTCCATACATTATATTGTTCCTACTCCTAAGTATAAACATTACTACTTATAAACTATATATTCAATTTAAAACTAATTTAACTTGTTGAAATTTCTTGAAATGATAGGTTGTCAATTAACTTGTTGTTAAAAGTAATTATGATGAATTTGTAGAAAATATGGGCTCTCGAGTGAGTAGTTTTAAAAAAATATTAAAAATATATAATAATATTTAAAATTTAAGATATTTTCAAATATAAAGACATTAAATATGAAGTATTTAACGTATTACATTAATAATATTATTTTACCAAAAAATTATTTAAAATATTAAATGCTTTCTAAGATTCTAAATTAAAATATTAATAGTTTTGGATATTATTGATAATAAATATATTGAATATTAACTTAGTCATTAAATAATTAATTTTATAATTTTTTTTTTTAGTTTCATGATTCACTTCTGTAGTCATGTTCACTAGATAAATTCTTAAAGATTATTTTTATTTTTTAAAATAAAATAACAACAATAATAATATAAATTAATTTTAATATTAAAATAATTTTTAATAAAAATATAAATGGTAAAAATTTAACAAAATATGAAATAATCTGAATTATTAATCCGTACATATAAAACACTCTAAAATCTATATAAATTAGATAACCTGCATTCAATATTAAAAAAACTTAAATAAATAAATAAAATTAAAATTTCTTAAAAGTTATTTTTGTTTTTATTGATATTATTTATTAACCAAATCTAGAGTTTTATTTATGATAATTGTAAATATAATTTCTTATTAAAATAAATTAAACTTTAATTTTAAACCATAAACATGACTAATTAGAGTAAAATACACTATAAAATTATTATAATAAGATAATATTTTATATTTAATAAATTGTGAGGTTAAATTTAATTTTCTTTGTCTTGAAATTAAATGAAACACGTTTTTTTCTGAATTTTTTTGCATGCTAATCACGTGTTCAGGTGGATTTATTTTTTTATGACTGAGAAAAATATATATAACAGAGTAAAAGATAAACTACGTTCAGCCAGTTAAATTATTTATTAACTTACGTTAAATTCAATTAAAGTTTTTCTCTTAACATTAACTAAATTTTTAATATATTTTTTTAACTAATTGATTGGGATTAAGAATGTTAAGTTGCTCCATTTTGTGATAGGTTAGTAGGTGATCTGCTTAAATAATGAAAATAAAAATTCATAGAAAATAAAAATAATAAAAATATAGTTTTTTAATAAATTAAAAAAAAAGAATCAGAATTAAAATTCAATTAAAAAGAAAATTTAAGTTAGACTTTAGAGTATGTAAAGCTTGAAAATAGGAAATAAATATGAGATAAATTGAAAAAATTATAATCTAATAAGTTAATCTGTTATATCCAACTTAAGTAATTTTTAATTAGTTTGAATTATGTAATTCCAACCACTTACATTGCTTTATAAATTAATTTTTTTTGTAAATTATAAAATTTATACATATGATCAAATATTATTGATGAAAACCCGACGTGTCTTGCAAGTTGATGGGTTAAATTCAAATATGTATCCTAATAAATAAAAATTGGTGGTGTTAGTTGCTATTTGTGTATTCATATCTTTCTTATTTTATGAGTTTTTATATTAAATTAAACTACAAATTATTTCTTTTTAATTAGTTATTCACTTTGAGAAAATTTTAATTTCCTTAATCATCTTAATTAATATTAAAATTTCATTAATCAATTGTTAATATACTAAAATATTATTATTTCATTATTAAAATAATATTTTATTGATTAAATTATCTTATTTTAAAAAATAAAAAATCTAAATGCTTACATTTTTTATTTTTAACCTATATTTTCATCGCCAATCAAATAATTTTAAAAAAATTATTTACTTTTTAAAAGGACCATCTCTATCACTTAACAATTTCTTTTCTCGTTGCAGAGACTCCTTCCTTTTTTTTTTCTCATTCTGCACAACCAAACGTTTAAACTTCCTTTATCCCTCTCAAGTTTTTCCCTATCTACACACGGCATTTTGTTTTTCCACTTTCTCTATCACGTGAGTTACTGAGGTAAGTCCAATCCCTAATTTAGTCCCCAATTTTCTAATTTAGTCCAATCCCTATTTTGTTCTTCGATATTATTATCAAATTAGGGTTTACTTTTCTGTTTGTAATTTCATGGTAGAAATACATTTGGGTGAAAGTGGCGAAAGTACTTCCAATCG